GTATGAGTTAATTAGCCATTGATGTTTGCTCATATTGATATTGCTCATTAACTATGAAATTTTAGACTCAATTACTTAGCATCAGTCCTCTTTTTTCAACACCTGGGAAATGGGCATAGTCATTATCCTGATCTTATGGGACATAAGGAAGAAAATGTATAAAGTACTTAGCAGTATTCCTGGCCCATGGCATACACAAAATAAGTGCTGAGTTTTAGTGGATGATTAATGACCCAGTTATCAAAACACTGTATTAGTTTCATTATAAAAACTGATGTCCTACCTAAAAAGTGGTCCCCAAACCTGAATTTTTCGATAAGAATGTCAGTGAAGTTTTTATTCTCTATCCCCATCTGGCTATGTCATTTCCTAAGAGTGGACTCACACCCTCTTCCTCACTCCCCTGCATCACCCAAATATCTTCCCAAACACATTCCCTAGCTTCAAATCATCTCCTTTGTATAGCACAGCATAGTATCTTGATTAAGACAATAAGCTTCATGGTCCCAAGACCTTAGGCAGTATAGCCCCACTTTCCCTACCAACCTTATACTAATATTGAGTCTTCTTTACTCTAGAAGGAGCAACAGCCCCATAGCAAGAGGGCATGTGAGGTGGTAAAGAATATGGAATGTGGAGCCTCACCATTGGCTTTAAATGTCAGCCACTCTAGTTACTCAGCCCCTCCATGGCTAAGGTTCCTGGTCTGTAACATGGCAAGGATAGTAATAAGATCATTGCATGTATCATGAGCTTGTGTAAGAACTGCGTGAGATCAGCTATGGAAGACAGTCAGCACAGTACTAATGCTTAGTAAGTGATGGGGGACAATGATGAGCCTCCACTGGGAACCCTGATGTCATTCCCAAATGCAAATGCTCTCAGACCACACGTCTGCTCTGATTGCTTCAGTGATACCATTCCCATAGAACGAAGCTCAAACGTTTTGTCTTTTTGACACAGCCCCAGCGGGCCCGGAATGTATATAACCCAGGCTGCCCTCAGTCTCACAGAGATCTGCCTGCCTCTGCCTCCTGAGTGTTGGAATTAAAGGCATGTGTCACCATGACCAGTGAAGTTCCAATTCTTAAATGCAGGGTACTAGGCACATACGAATTCTTCCCGCCAAAGCATCACTCACTTTTCCAACTTCATTTTGCATCATTCCCTTCCAGTCGCCCTTCAGTCAGATCACCAGATCTGTGCTCTACCCAGTCAGTCCTTTTCACCATCCTACAAGCAATCCAAGGTCTTTTGTGTCTCTATTTCACTTGCAAAGATCCCTTCCTATTCCTTTCCACCTGCTGTGGAAGACACTCTCCCCAGCTACTCTTTTTTGTGAAGTGATTCCTAAAATCCATAGAACAGCCTCTAAACATCTACATTATAACCTAGACATCCTAAAGGCCCAGCCTGTATTGCTTTTTGCCAGTTTACCTCTGTGCCTCTTCTCATCACCCCTCAGGAGCAGGGACCTATTTACTTCTCGGTGTGTAATTCCTGACTTGCACAGTGAGTGACTGAGTGGAGAGATGTATGAATTCCAAGGGAACCAAACCCACAAAATACTCTGATAAGAAGATGGCTAAGTTGAAAGCTTTGGGGCTGGAGCGCTGGCTCTGCGGTTAAGAACACTGGCTGCTCTTGCAGAGGATCAGGGTTCAGTACCCAGCACCCACATGGTGGCTCACAACTGTCCATAACTTCACTTCCAGGGGATCTGATGCCCTCTTCTGACCTCCGTGGGCATTGCATGACATGGGTGCACTTACACACATGCAGGCAATACAGTCATACACATAAAAATAATAAATCAATAAAAAATGAAAGTAGCTTCATGCTGGGCATTTTTTTGAACCATGACCTTGTTGATTTAAACCTCTTTTGGCCTCTAATTGTGTGAATTTCTGCTTATATTTATTTTGAGCCACTTTATCCAAAGGTAGGTCAAGAAAATATATACATGTGCTTAAGCCTTTCATAGTAAGCTAATTCTAAAGCTTTTTTACCAGTTTAAAATTTCTCCTACTCTAGAGTAATTTTAAAATACCATACAAAAATGTATGTTTGTTTGCTTGTTTGTTTGTTCTGAGACAGTGTCTCCCTGTAGCTCCAGCTGGCCTGTAACTCACTATGTAGACCATGCTGGTCTCAGTCTCATAGAGATTCACCTGCCTCTGCCTCCTGAGTGCTAAGATTAAAGTCATGTGCCACCACGCCCACTAAAAATTTGTCTTTTTTTAATTTTTAAAGTTTTAATGGATTAAATATCTCTTTACTTGTAGACAATACAGCCTGTAAGACATTGCTGAAATTTTGCAATCAGAGCATACTGATCTAGGAAGAGAATTTATGAAAATAAACTAAAGGAGTCCGTGGTTGAGAAAGTTGGGAAGAAATATATGTCATATAATTTCATTGAAATATTTTTAGAAGACTTTAGCATTTTGAAGGCTCTGAGAAACCCTGCAATGAGGAAGTCAGTAAGTACTTCCCACATTTACTTTAAGACAATCATTTTTTTGCTCCTTGGGACACAGCTGCTCCTGCAAAGTCACTTACAAAGAAGTATATCAGTTCATTTTTAAAAATCCCAGCTGGGCATGTGGCTCACACCTTTAATCCCAGCACTTGGGAGGCAGAGGCAGGAAGATCTCTGTGAGTTCAAGACCAGCCTGGTCTACATAGCGAGTTCCAGGACAGCTGGGGTTACAGGGAGACCCTGTCTCAAAAAGGCAAAAAAAAAAAAAAATCCAATACACTGTGTCTTTCTGTGATAAATAATTTTGGTCCCTGTCACCTGAGCAGTTCCTGACTGGAACCCACTTGCCCCTTCCAAGCAAGTCACCATTCAAAGCACATGAGCAAATACAGAGCATGCAACTTGCTGGAATACTTTTGGAAAGTACACAGAGAGACAGACAGACACACACACACACACACACACACACACACACACACACACACACAGTCTGTTCTCTATAAATGCCATCCACTTCTTTTAACTCAACTTCTTGGAGCCACAAGAAAGAAATGAATTTTTTTCCTCATTTCTTCAGGCAGAGGACCTAAACCATCTCATGGAAACTTGGGTTGCTCAAAGAAGCACAATCCCAAAGCCTACGCAGGTCTTCATTTGTAAAGTAGACAGAAAGCTCAGGGAAGATCTGCAGATACCTGTCATACCAAGCCATCATTAGTGATGTGTAATGATTGGACGATAATGGCACGGCGCCTTTGAAGACCGAAATGAAGCTCTCCATGCAGTGACAACTGACCAACGTGAAAAGGCCTCGTTTGACAACAAAACAACTTGAATCCCTTTTATGAGGTAAGGAATGTGTCTGAGGTAATAAACACTTAAGTAATTAGATGGATTTTTATGGAAGCAGCTATAAACTGAAACATGGGGAAAATATCTTGGTAATAGGCTGACGCCCAGGGACATAGTATATAAGAGCCTTGGCAGAAGGCAGGAGCATCCAGACACCAACCGACTTCTCTACCCAACCAAAACCCAACTCCCAAAGCCATGGCCTGTTGTGTGACCCGCTGCTGCAGTGTCCCCACCGGTCCTGCCACTACCATCTGCTCCTCCTCCAAGTCCTGCCGCTGTGGAGTCTGCCTGCCCAGCACCTGCCCACATGAGATCAGCCTCCTTCAGCCCACCTGCTGTGACCCCTGCCCCCCACCCTGCTGCCAACCTGAGGTGTACGTGCCAACCTGCTGGCTGCTCAACTCTTCCCACCCAACTCCCGGCCTGAGTGGCATCAACCTGACCACCTATGTCCAGCCTGGCTGTGAGAGCCCCTGTGAGCCCTGCTGTTAGTCTTTCCCCGGGTTCAGGGTTCGGTGACCCTGCTGCTCGGCATCCTCCCCACTGCCTGCCCTTCAACAACTGCTTCTGCCTATAGCAAAGCTAAATCAACTCTACAGCCCAGGCACAGAGGCCTATGGACATGCTCGACTTCTTAATGCTTGGCTCCTTCGGGCACCTTTCCCCTTTTAGGCCATGTCCCTGCTCTTTAATAAACTTCATTCTGGCTTAGCAAATATGGCCTTATCACTGTTTATTTCTGTTTTCTCTTCGGGAAAGTAGGAGGACTATCTCTACTTGACATGCAGGTTACCATACCACCCAAGATTCATTCCCTGCACAATGAGAGCTCTTATGATGGAATTTCTTTTAAAGCTAGATATTGGTTATTCCTGATAACTTGAAAAGTTCAGTGGGAACTTTTTATTTAACAAATATTATTGAAGGCATCCACTATGCCATTTAGGATCTAGAAACTAATGTGTTAAGTTTTTAAGTTTTAATTTTTTATTTATTTATTTTTAATGTGTGTGTGCTGGTATGAACTCATGTGCACCAGTTAAGTAGAGTGCCCACAGAAGCTGGAAGAAAGTGCATGTGCATGTGTGTGTGCATGCGTGCATGTGTGTGTGTGTGTGTGTGTGTGTGTGTGTGTGTGTGTGTGTATAAAGGAATCAGAGGCCAAAAGAGATCCACATCAGCAATACAATGGATCAAAAGCTGCTTAATATGAAACTGCTTTCGTTTTTAGGCATCTTACCAGAATATCTTATGATTTAGTCTTTTTAACTATTTAAGGGCCCTTGTATGCTGAAAGCCCAGACACGTTATATATAATAGCACATTTAGAGCTATTTTCAAAATTAAAAGTAAAGACTAAGCATTTCTCCCTTACAAGTCTGACATGGTAGCAATGGTTACATATATTGATTCTGAATGTGCATTGCTACTTATAAACGTATTTATGAATGAAAATGAAGGAACTGATAAACTTTTTTTTTTCGGTCTTTTTGAGACAGGGTCTCCTTGTAGCTCCAGCTGACCTAGAACTATATAGACCAGGCTGGCCTTGAACTCACAGAGATCCGCCTGCCTCTGCCTCCCAAGTGCTGGGATTAGAGGCGTGCACCACCATGCCCAGCTAATGAACTTTTATTTAGGAAAGGTATTTGGGGAAAATGTACATTTCAAGAAATGACAAGATGACTTTAGGGGAGAAAGCTAGGATTGTTTGGGTGGCCAGGGAGAAAGCTGGTAATGGTGAGGGCCTCAGCTGGGGTAGGTTGATGCTGTGGAGAACACTTCCTGTTCTTCAGCCAAGAACGAAAGGGTTCCTGTCCTTGAGGCATCATAGAGAAGAAGTTTAAATAAATGCTGTCTTCCAGGAGAATCAATTTTGCATGAATATTAGCACTGGGTGTTCCTTGCACCTTCAAATGAGGCTCCCATGAGTGTACATGAGCTGTGAGTATGTTCCAAAGTCACTAGTTCAAGTGACACACATTGCCATGTCACTGAAATGTACATAGACTATAAGACCAAAGTGAAGTATTCACCAGACAACAGGAACAGCCGTGTAACGCTGACAGCACAAACATACTATTCTTCTTTTAAAAAAGCTTTATGGTGACCACTATGTGATTCCCTTGGTTGTCATGGAAACGCTCAGCACAATACGGTCTTCACAGAAAGTACCCACACTCTGCAATCTGCAGATCTATAGTCTAGTGTATTTTCTTGCCTTGGGACTTTAGCTCTCTCTCTCTCTCTCTCTCTCTCTCTCTCTCTCTCTCTCTCTCTTCCCTGTCTAGTGTCCTACAGCCTTGGTTTCCTCATTATTTGTCTATGCTCTGCTTATGTCTCAGGGCTGCTGTAAAGACTGAACAACACAAGGAACAGACTTCCTTCTCCATGGCATCGACTCAGCCCAGCTGAGGCCCTCACCATTACAGCCACCCAGCCAGTCCCAGCTCTCTCCCCTAAAAGTCATCCTTTCATTTCTTGAAACATTCATTTTCCCCAAATAACTTTCCTAAATAAAAATTGACTAATTCCATGGCTGGAGAGATGGCTCAGCAGTTAAGAGCACTGACTGCTCTTGCAGAGGACCTGGGTTCAGTTCCCAGCACCCACATGGCAGCTATGAAACGTCCTTAACTCCAGTTCCATGGGAATCTGAAGCCCTCTTCTGACCTCCACAGAATTGCATGACACAGGTGCACTCACGTACATGCAGGCAATACACTCATGCGCATAAAATAAAAATATTAAAAAATAATTAGTATATTAAAAAATTGACTAATTCATTCTTGCTCACAAATACATTTATTAATAACAATGTACATTCAGAATCAAATACATGTAACTGTTGTTACCATGTCAGACTTGTAAGGGGGAAATATTTAGTCTTTACTTTTAATATTGAAAATAACTCTAGGGGCTGGAGAGATGGCTCAGCAGTTAAGAACACTGGTTGTTCTTGCAGAAGACCCGGGTTCGAATCCCAGGACCCACATGGCAGCTAACAACTATAACTCCAGTCCCAGGAAATTGACAGCCTCTTCTGACCTCTGCAGGCATTGCACAATACGGGTGCACTTACCTACATGCAGGCAATATACGCATACACGTAAAATAAAAATAATTTTTTTTATTTTTAAAAAAGAAAATAACTCTAAATGTGCTATTATAACCCCTCTGGGCTTTCAGCACACAAGGGCCCTTGGATAAGTTAAAAAGCCCCACCAGAAGCTAGGAGATATGTGTTTTAGTCCTGGTTCTGTTTCAGGATATTTCTGTGACCCTATTTCTTAAGATTTCTGGGTCTCTGACCTTAAGTCAGTAAAATGGGTTGCTTAACCAGATCACATCTAAAGTCTCTGCCTTAACATGCTGTGTTACAGAGTTTTCAGATGTGTTCTAAGTAACAAATGCTCTGTAATGGTTAACATTGTCAACTTAGCAGGATCTAGAACCACCTAGGAGACAAACCTCTGGGCAGGTCTTCCAGGGGAATTTCTAGGTTAGATTAACTAAGGTGGAAAGACCTGCCCTAAATGTGAGCGGAACCATGTCATGGGGGTTGGAGTCCTGAACCGAATCAAAGAGAGGAGCAGGGGTGGGGGGGGGACATCAGGAGTCATCTCTCACTGCTTCCTGACAGTGGATGCAATCTTACCAGCTGCCTCAGGCCTCTGCCACCATACTGTTCCCACCACGATGGGCTGTATCCTAAACTGAGCCAAAATGAGCCCTTCTTTCTTTAAATTGCTTTTGTCAGACATTTTGCCACAACACCAAGAAAAGTGCCTAACGAGTGTTTAGATATTATGCTACACCTTGCTGGGAAGCTTCAGTTGTCAACTTGACGTACCTGGGAAGAGGGAGCCTCAGCTGGGGTGTTTTCTTTACTGGATTGTCCTGTGGGCATATCTATGAGGCATTTGCTTGGTTGTTGAGTGATGTAGGACTCAGGTCACTGTGGGTGGTGCCACCCTGGCAGGTGGTCCTGGGTGGTATATAAGAAAGCACGCTGAGCAAGCGAGCCAGTAAGCAGTGTTTCTCTGTCTGTACTTCGGTTCCTGTCCTGAGCCTTGGCCTCCCTCTGTCGTGAACTATAAGCTGAATTTGAAATAAACCCTTTTCCTCCCCGAGTTGGTTTCGGTCAGTGTTTTTATCATAGCAACAGCAGCTAAGACACTGCATTTACCCCTTTCAACCATAATAGCCAACATCTGATAACTTTCCACTAGATGCTCTAACAGGTGCCGATGTGCCAGATCTCATTTGTCTTTAACAAAATCTCTAAGAGATAACTATGGCTATTCTCCTTCATTTTACAGATAAGAAACTGAGACTGAGAGAGGCCAAGCTACTTCCAAAAGCTACATAAATCATTAGTGACAGATGAACTTCAAGCTTCCCGACCCTCAGATTCCTTCTCTTTCTGCTGCACCAAAGCACTCGCCTCCTTCGTGGATAGGAATGCAATGTAATTACATACGGCTCTTTATTCAAGAGAAAGTATATGATGGCAGTTGGCAAAACATCCCATCCTGAATTGTCCACTTGGCTGTATACAGTTACTCAGCTTTCTCCACGGGTGATTATAGTACAAAACCAGAGAAAGATATGTAACAAATAGAAGAAAGACTGTTTCTAAAGTGAGAACAAATCATCTTTTGCTTTTTTATGTGTAGGAGTGTATTGCCTGCATGTAGATACATGCACCCATATCATGCAGTGCCTGCAGAGACCAGAAGAGGGCGTCTGACCCCGGAACTGGAGTTACAGATAGTTGTTAGCTGCCGTGTGGGTGCTGAGAATTGAACCTGGGTCCTCTGCAAGAGCAGCCAGTGCTCTAACTGCTGAACCATCTCTCCAGCTCCCAAATCATCTTTTTTGAGTCAGACTCCAAGGACTGATTGGCAGTGTCAGCTTTCAAATATTGGCTGAGTCATTCACTTTGAGTTAAAATGCAGAATATTCCACAAACATGATTTCTGTTTTCTTGGTGAGCGCCAATGACTTACACCAAGGTAAAACAAACTGTTCTTCATGTAAGCAATTATTTATCATCAATTATTATAATCAAACTGAAATAATAGAATAGAAAGCCAAGGAATTTTATTTCACTTTAAACTGTTCCCAGCACCCAGGTCTTTCTTTCCCCTCATCGATCAAGCATCATCTAGACCCTTATCAGCCACAGTCTCCCAGGTGACCTTGAGTCAACTATGGGGTGCTTCTCCCTCCACCCAAACTATGTCTTCATCTGACCAAGCTTCTGGCCCTTTGTAAGTATTGAATTGCTCAAAATATTATAGTGACTCGAGATTTCTGGGTGGTTGTTTTTTGGTTTTTGTTTATCGGTTTGGTTTAGTTTTTCGGTTCTCACTATGTAGCCCTGCTGCCTCTGGAGTGCTTGGATTAAAAGCAAGGTCTACCACTCCCAGATAAGATTCCTGATTTTACTGAATCAAGAATCAGCTCTTCAGAGTGACTGATAAGAC